AGGACAGGTCGCCCTTCGTCAGGTCGAAATGCACGGGGGGCTTTGGTTTCACCGGAGGAGGGACTTTGTTGTTCAGCTTGCTCTCAAAAGTGCTCATGACGGAGATGAAGGACAAGCCGTCGTTCCCCTCCAGCTCCATGGAGAGCTTCGAGTGGTCTTTGGGCAGGGCGGGCACCGACGCGTCCTCTCTGAAGGGGCTGTAAGTGGGGGGCTCGACGTCCTCCTCCGAGTCCTGCAGGTTGGAGTTGCAGAGGGGGGAGCCCGCCCGAGGCGAGTTGAACACCTCCTCCGTGGTGCTGCAGGCCTCGGCCACGTTGTCGTACATGTGGGTGGCCTCGATGATGTTTTTTTTCTCCACCACGTCCTTGAAGAAGGAGTGGAAGATCTCCAGCTTGTGCTGCGGCTGGCTACAAGGTATGGTGGTGAACTTGCCGTCGATCTCCTGGGCGATCTCCTCGCCCTCCGTGAGCTGCTCCCTGCTCAGGTCGTTGTCCAGGATGTCCGCGGAGCCGTCCGTGAGCGCCACGACCTGTATGGGGATGATGTCCTGCACCTCGCAGAGGAAGGCACGCAGCATGGCCAGGGACGCCTTGCGCTTCGCCGAGTAGAAGACGATGTAGCCGTGGACGAGCCGGCTCTTCCTGACGCTGAAGGAGGAGTGGTAGGACAGGAGGGAGAGCTCCACGCGCCTCTTGTGCGGCCCGATGGCCAGCTCGAGGAGCACGGAGCTGCTGCTCCCGCACTGGGAGGGCCGGTAGCTCTGGGACTGCAGGATGGGCACCAGGATGTCGTCGGCGTTGAAGGGGTCCCCGCACATCAAGCACATGACGATCCGGAGGTCGACGTCCGCCAGGTCTTTGATGCTGGAGGTGGAGCTGACGAGGTTCAAGTTGCGTTTGGAGTCCAGCAGCCCCTTCAGGACCTGGCTGATCTGCTTCTCGTTGATGTTGCGGCCGCAGAAAAAAAAAGAAGACGCACTGCAGCTTGCTGGCGATCTGCTGGCCCTGCTGGATCAGGCTGTGCAGCGTCTCCCCGCTCGGGTCCCCCCTCTTGTTGACCAGGATGAGCGTCAGGGGGAGGTGAACCAAGTGGTTGTCCCTCCTGCCGATGGTCGACTCCCTGCTCTTCTCGATGCTCTCCACCACGTAGGACAGCGACTCCTTGGAGTTGTAGAGGCAGAGGCAGCCGTGGGGCTGGAAGGTGGGGGTCTGGAAGGAGTTCACGGGGAGCCGGACGTTGCCCTCGATGGGCCTGAGGGACAGCTCGTACATCTTGCCCTCGATGACGTACTTGTCGTCGTTGGTGCAGAGCGCCCGGATCTCGTTGGCCAGCTCCCGGGCCAGGCCGTCCTTGCCCAGGATCACCAGGTTGATCCTGTCGATGTTGGGGTCCGAGAGCAGGTTCTTCTGGTTGCGCTCCGAGGGCCGGATGAAGCGGGAGCTGATCAGCTGCTCGATTTTGGAGTCGACGCAGAGCGGGCAGCTGGGACACGTCTCCTTCGTCGGGTGGTACACGAAGTGGATGTGCTTCAGGATCAGGGCGTCCCGCTCGGCCTGCAGCTTCTGCAGGGCTTTGAACCTCTGCTCCTCGCCCAAGACGTCCTGGATGACGCCCATCTTCTCCTTGCTGGGTTTGGCGTCGAGCTCCAGCTCGTAAAACAGCTCCGAGTACTCCAAGAGCAGCTCCTGAAACTCCTCCTTGGCCTTCTCGATGATCTGTTTTTGGTGCTTGCTGTAGATATCCATATAAATAGACTCCTCCAGCCACATGTAAAAATCCTCGTTCATGATGAAGCTGCGAGCTTCCTCCCAGGGCTTCCCAGGCGTGATGAAAGGGGAAGTCTCCAGGTTCTCTTTGAAAGCTCTTCTCATCTCCGCCCTTTTCCTCTCGTTCCTCAGCTTTTCCAGGTGAGCTTCGTAGAGCTGCTCGGCGGGCTGGGTCTCCATCAGGTCGAAGGGAATGCGCTCGTTCTCCACGTTGTCCACGTGGCTCGTGGCGTCCCAGGGGGTCTCCTCCAGGACAACAAACCACTTCAGAAAGTCCGGCTTCGTCTCCAAGAGCTTCTCCGCCTTCACGCAGCTCAGGTGATCTATTTCATCCAGGTCTGGGATGAGGGCTTCGAAGGCCTGAGGCAGCATGGCGAGGTACATCTTCCTCCGGCGCTCGATGTGCTCCTGCTTGAGGCGATGGACGTGCTGCAGGAACAGCTTTTTGGCTTTCTGGGTTCCCTCCAGGTAGACGTAGTCCTGGTACTCGGAGGAGGACTGCATCTTGCGGCTGACGTTGGACCACGTCTCGTTGTGGTTCTTGACGATGCGGCTGACCAGCCACTCGTACTTGTCTTTAGCAGCAGCTATCTGTTGGCTTTGCTGTTTCAAAGCCTCGAAGTAGGGGATGATTTTCGTCTTCCCCCGGCTCTTATCGATCAGCTGCACCAAGGTGCTGAAAGCCAAGTCGATGTTCACGTTGGATCTCGCCGACGTCTCCACCACCTGGAGGTTCTTTTTGCTTAAGGCAAAGGTATGTGCATCCCTAATGTACCGCTCCACGCCTTCGTCACACTTGGTCAGCACCACCATGATGGGCTTTTTCGTTTTCACTAGCTGATTGTAAAGGTTTGAAACGAATTTGAGCTGATCGTCAAAGTTCCTGTTCATCCCCCTGCTGACGTCGATGCAGAGGAGAAAACCATCCACCAGCAGCTTCCCATCCGGCATCTGTTTCTGTTCAAAGTCCTGCTCCAGCCCGAGCTGATCAGTGCAAAAGTACATGAGCTTCTCAGCCGACGCCAGCTTGGTCGCCGCGGCCCTCTTGATGTAGGGCTGCAGGGCTGTGCTGCGGTGAGGCTGGAAGGTCTGGTCGTCGATGAACTCCGTCTGCTCCACCACGTGCACCTTACACTCCACGCAGTCCTCCAGGGAACGCACGACTTCCCCCCAGTAGAGGAAATGGTCGTTGTTGACCACCCTTCCCCCAAAGTCACTGGTGCTGAGGACCGAGGTGTGGTCCAAGTGAAACTCGTCGGCGCTGGGCCGCACGAAGCGGTTGCAGAGGCAGGATTTCCCGATGCCACACTGCCCCTTCTCCTTCTCCGTCCCAGACAACCCCACCACGCTGACGTTGTAGGTGGGAATGCGAACATCTTGCTTTCTTGCCATCATCATCGTCCGCACATCCTGTCTCGGTCGAGCTCTTCCAAGAGGATTTTAGGGTTCCCGACGCCCGCTGCGACCTGGGGGCTCGG